AATTGAATCTCTCTCCCTCTCCACAGCAGCAACAGTTGCTTAGCCAGATCTGTGGCTGAGATTATCATCATCATTATCATCACCACCATCATCAGCATCATCATCAGCAGCAGCAGTAATTCAAGTGAGCCACAACAAATCGCCAGCTTTGCATAATCAGTGCCCAAATTGGACATCATTATGCGAAACTATTTTTACTTTTCTTTGTTGTTTTCTTTTATTTTGAATGTCTATTTTTGGCAACCTAACGCAGCTGGCCACAGAAGCTAATGAACTCTGGTGGCATGTAGACTCTGCTGTAAATTACAACCCTTGGCGCAGGCGTCTTTCGGTTTGATTCGCGAATGTTGCGAATACGACGATTTCGTCAGCTTCCAATTCAATGCAATTTACTGACAAAGCCCAACTACACGCTCTGCCGACAACAGCAACAGACAACAGCAACAGCAATTGTCGCTATTGTGCAACCAAGACAAGCAACAACAGAAGCCGGTTAGGGCAGAACCTTAATGTGTAGGGTGCTCAACGGGGAACATGGCCTTTGCTGAAATTCATTAGAAGTCTTTAAATACTATAAAATGTTAACATAGTTGAATTTCATCAGAAGTCTTCAAAGTATAAATGAAAATCTTATCATACCAATAAGAGCCCAAAGCATTGTTTATAATAGATATTACTTGTATTACTATATTAATATCTTTACATTTTTTTGAAAAACTTTACAATCTTATCATATCCATAAAAGCCTCAAGCATGTGTGAATGGTGTTTACAATAGACATAAATTGTTGTAAAACATTTATATCTTCTCATCAGACATCAAGTACTATACAATCTAAATGCCTTAAGCATCTGTCAATCGTTGTTATAATAGATATCATTTATATTGCCATATGTATGTCATCAAAAGTATACAAATAGTATCAAATCTTATAATATCATATAGAGCCTGAAGTATATGTGAATTCATTTTAGAGTATATATCATTTATTTCATTTTAGAATATATATCATTTATATTACTTTATATACATGTATCTTCAAAAGTCTTCAACTACTATCAAATCCAATGATTCATTTAGTCTAAAGCTTAGAAAGTGGTTTGCCATTCTTGTTATCTGAATCTACTTGCATCTACAATTGCATATGCTCTGATTGAAAGAGGATATTCATTTTACGCCTTCTGATTACGGGGTTCGGACAGGGCAGAGAACTTCTGGGTAAGTAATTTACTTAGCATATATGCAGAGCGCAAAGCTTCGGCTGACTAACTGGAACTCAAGAAATTTGGCTCGCAACTAGGACGACAACAACAACAACAGCAACAATGACAAGAATGGCAACTGCAGCCAGAACTGGTAACTGGTCTGCCGGCAACCGGCAGACAAAACTGTGGCAACACCTCCCTCTTTGCCACACACACACACACACAAACACAAACACACAGACACACAGACACACACACATGACGTCAGCCGGTTGGCCATGCTTGCAACTCTTCCTAACTGGTTTATACATTAATTTAGATGCTTTCTTGATGCTCGAGTCAAGTTTTCGGTTGTATTCACATTTTGGAATTTATTTACACATTTTGCGTAGGCCTACAAACCCAGAAGCCTACTAAGGCGCCGGATACCCGCTCAGTCCGTCAGCGAGTCAGCCTGTCGGACTGGCAAAGAAATCAGTACCCGTTTTTCTATCGATGGAACCACTCAAAAAAGCTCTCAATTAGCGAGTCGCTTCGGGTATATGACACAAGGGGGGAAGGTTAGCAAGATCATGTGAGATTAATGAATCATCTGGTTCACTTGCTGGGCACACTTTTAACCTAAGATTTGTATCTCAGCAACACACGTAAATATGTATGTATGTGGACCATTAAAAGAAGAGAGGCGAAGTTTTAATACTCTTTATAAACAATATAGCTTGAGAAGAAAGTCTTTAAAATTTCCATAAACGAATAAATTTAATGTGATTTTGTCTGAATCGTTTCTATGTAGCTTATATAGACAAAGCCATATCGATGTTAAGAATATTATTGGAATCTGAGACAAAATGGTAATTTCTATTCACCAATCAGCTAGACGAGCTACATATATAAATGGACGAACCTAAGGAACTAGAGTTAGCTGATTTTACGCATTTTAGGAATGAATAATTCTCCCATTAAGCGTTACACATTTGTTTATGGGACTCTTAAAGCTGAACAATGAGTATTACATATTTGGTGACAAAACCAATATACCCAAAGACTCCAATAAAAGCCGACAGCATTTAAATTGCATGGCTTTCGAATTCAACGCTCTGAACTGAATTTTCAGCTGCATGAAACTAACTTACAGAACAGTTAGCTATATTAATTCATAGACAATCACTTAAGCTCTATTTCAGATAATTAACTCGTAACGAGCTACTTTATATAGAAGTTACAGTATACACACATATATAAATATAGATTTACTGTAGACATTCATTACTCGAGCTGTGCAAAACAGTTGTACGATTCATTTGTGAATAGATGAAGACTCAGTCACGATTATTAAGATGACAACCAATAAATAAGATGAGCACATAGCTAGAAAACAGATATAACAAATAAACACATATCTATATAATAAATACCAATACAGTATCTATACCTGTGTATGCAATAAAAAATCTAGTTTGCTTTTGTTTGAATTTATCAAGATGTTCAATAATTCAGGTTTTATTTTTATTTTTATGACACATCGTCACAGACCATGCAGTTCCTTATTAGTTTCGCTTTGGTTTTAGGATTAATGGCAACCAAAAATGCATTGCCAGTCGTTAAGAAGTTTACGAATTATTGCAATCAAAGTCACATGTGTGCTCATTTTGGGTATGACAAAGCCAGAAATGCATTTATCGGGTGTGCTCGACTCGTATTCTGCATTATTTATATATACACACTCAACCAACACAAATCACTCACTTTTCCGGTGATTTTTCATCTTGTATAAGTCGAAGTTTATGGAGCATCTTTTCCAAATTTTCAGGGCATGAAGATGACACCACAATATGTATATGATATGCATGCATATAAGATGCACAACTTTCTGGCGAGTATTTCGTATCTGTCAATAATCTTGATACTTGAAGAACTTAAATGTCTATCTATCTATCTATTTATCTATAAGGGTTAATTTAAAGAGAAAGGTAGACGGTTGCTTTACTGCTCTTGGCTGTAATTGGTTTGTGGGACTAGCCACGCCTCTTTCTGCTTGATATTTATATCTCAACAAAACCAAATCCATGACAAACCGTTTTCAGTGGATTTAAAGTAAATTAAAATTGATCATTATTATAATTGTAAGTTTTAAGAAAAAGTAATAGCCATGGCCACATTGTCAGCAAAATAAAGTAAAATGAAACCAACTCAATTATAATATTAAGTTTTTTGTTATGCAAATTATTTAACAGAAATCAGCTAAGCTTGATAAGTAACACTAATTGATTTAATTTCATTGCTCTTATTTTTTATGACCCGAAATTTGCTTCGATAATAAGTCCACTTTAATACATATAGGAAGTGTAATATTACAATAATAAATATATCTAAATTATGCAATTTATCATATATTTCGTTATACAAAGTACACTCATATAAATAGGGCAACAAAGATTATTTTAATAACTGATATTGCTCAAAGCATCAAGTTTTTGATGTTTAGGTCGTGTTTAACAACAAATTTCGACGTCTTTTAAATAGCAATTTCTTAAGATTGAGTTGCTATCTCAGTTTAGGGTAATGCTCGTCTGCTATAGATGCACTGACTCGAATGACTCGAATGGTAGTGATGTACATATAATCACGTGTTTATCATGGAATTTTTTATGCGCGTGTCGCGGCGTGGGAGTCGTAATGCTCCAACCGCACATACCCACTTATGTATATCTCAATCTGTACATATATATATATATAAAGCTATCGAACACACACACACACATCTGCAGATATGTATGTAAATTCAGATACACTCTCTATGTGTGTCATGTGATGTTGGCTGTATAGAAAATGTCAGAGTTCAAGGTTTTTTGTTACATTGTGTTTATGTAACTGTTAGCTGGCACATAAGAGCTTTACAAACAAACATATTGGTACATAAATTGATGAAAGCTTAGGCATATGCATATAGGTATATATGTATGCATAGACATGTGTTTGCTTTGTGCCAAAAATAAACCATTTGCTACGCCTGAGTTCACATTTAAGCCAAACGCAGATGACTTCAAATATGTCGAATTTTAATTTTAAATATACAAAATAACTGATAAATATATATTATAGATATCTCAATACGTAAATCAGTTGCCAAGTGCTGCTTGCCATGGTGAATATTTGCTGCTTCGAGTTGAAATTGTGAATAGTTTCACTCGCGCTCCACACCTAATTCCATTGCATACTTTGGGGCTGCCAATGAAGTCAGCTAACCAAAGCATACTCCGGCTGCCTGGCTAGCCATTCACTAATTGGAAGAGTGTTGCCTACTTTTGTGAGCTGTTGGTTTTCGAGTCCAATTCGAACTAGAGACAGACAGACAAGGTGCATTGTGTGGGCGATGCCGCCTTTTCGTTGCCGCGCCACAAGCCACGCGAAGAGCTGCGGTGCGTGGTGTGTGGCCTCTAGGAAGGGTGGGGCAGCGTGGGCGAACCACTGTGTGGGTAGCTAAACAAACGAGCTGGAAAGCAGAGGGGCAAGCACACGAAACAGTGGAGATATCATTGATTTTTGCTGCTTCTGCTGCTGCAGCTTCAATGAGTTGCGTATTGTGGGCGTTTATTGCGTCACAAGCGGCCTCGGCCAGAGCGAACCTTGAACTGCCGGCTGGGAGCTCAGCAGGAGCAGATGTCTTTGTGGGTGTGTGGGGGGTGGGTGTGTGGGTGGGTGGCTGTTACTGTGGGCGGATGCCCCACAAGTGCAGCCAGGCAAACACAGAAAAGGATAATGCACAAAAAGGGTATACATGTGTCAATAACTTACCAGTAGATCTCATTGGAGGTAATCATATTGGTGGTCTTGTAGTACTGGGCGGCCGTATAGCTACTCATTGTGTAGATATATATATAGATGTATGTATGTAGTATATATAAATATATGTGTGTAGCGGATACACGACTTGTGCTACTTAAGGCAGACAGAGGCCCTTTAGAGCTGCGGGCAGTGTCTAATGAAACGGAATTGTTGTTTTTGTTGTTGTTTTTGGTTTGGTTACTGCGGAACTAGGTTCTGATTTTAATGGACGGTTTACAACACTTTGGCACCAGCGAAATGATTATAATGTTAATAATGATGATAGAAAAAATCAATACGACAGCGGCAAGAGTTTCATTCGTGTATATTTGATGAACGGCGGGCCAATTTCGCAAAATACATATACATATATGTATATATGCAGTTACAGACGATTAGTTATTGACATATACCACTATATAGTGTGTATATATAGATGTCCGGGAAATCAGGAATTATTAACGCCCAGTGGGCAGCAGGAGGCAACGACTACGAAGACGGCGAATTTGCCGGGGTTGGCTGCAGACAAACGAATACATACACAGGACCGCGGCGACGAAGGGGCGGGCGAGACGAACGAAATGCTTGCAAAAAAAAAGGAGAAAGGAAAAGAAAAACAAGAAAATAACACAACGGGAGAACCGAAACCGAAACCGAAAACGGGGCTAGCTACCCCACGCGAAAGGATACGCTTACGAAATTAATATGCACACTAACTAGGCTCTCGAGGCCCTAGACACTAGGCACTAGCACACACTAGAACTGGAGCGCAGTTGAGCTTACATGGATCTAAGTTTACATATATATAACACTAAGATATATATATATGTAATAGAAAATGTTGCTAGGCGGAAAAGCGTCTGCGAAAAACTAACGTCGGCTAACTGTATTGTGAGACTGACTGCTGAGCAGCGCGTTACTAAAGGCGTCGACAGAGCCAGAGCGGCGTCAACTGAACGAGAGAGAGAGGCAGCACAACGAACGACCCTCTTAAAACAAAGAGAGAGACAGAGGGAGAGGGAGAGAGAGTCCAACCAGATGGGACAGATGCGAGCGCGGGTTGTTTTTATATGTGCGTCAGCCTGGTGGTTGCTTCGCTGAGGCCCTGCCTTGCAACGTGCAACGTGCAACGTGCAACTGCAACTGGAATTGCAACTGCAATTGCATTGCAGAACAGCTGCGTCCAATGCTATATGGCCAATGGCCAACAACAAAGGCAACTGCAACTGCAGTTCATTGACAAACTCTCTCAGCTAATGGCGCAATCGCCAGCTAAATAGTTGATGTTTTCATTAAAATCATTAAAACTGAATACGAGTCCCATTAACAACAATTGTCGAGCGCAGCTGAGAGTCGGACTATGTCTGTTGTTGTTGTTGTTGCTTGTGTTGGAGCAGCCCGAAGAGAGTGTGAGAGTCAGAGAGAATGGAAACGCGTATGATTAAGGGTGGCTGTGGATGCCGTCGCACTGAATACGTCAGGCATGAGCGAAACGAATCCGGAATGTTTTGGGCTGGCAGAAGGAAAACAGCTTTCAAGTACTAATGTGCCTCAAGATGCTGCCACACACACACACACGCACGCACACAGACACACTCACATCCAGAAGGACAAGACTTCTTTAGGGCAATATATGGCCCACCCTTATTTGCCAAAAATTGGGGTGAACTGAGAGCGCAAAGTGCGCGAGAGCCAAGTCAGAGCTCAACTGAGAGAGATTGCGAATGGACAGCATTGCCAGTCTGAAATGTTGACAAATACACTTTGAGAAACCGGCTAAGAGTTATTGATGAGCAGAAGACATCACATCAATCAAAGATTATGTATTTTGATTGATTTTGAAAAATGATGGAGTAAAGTTAGGATGCAAACTTAATATTGTGTTGCATATTGCTAATATACACACAACTCTGTAAAACTGGTGAAAATATTGGCTTGGAATGCTATTGACATTAAAATTTAAGTCAAGGCCATTTTATAAATACTTATTAATTTTTTTATAGGCAAAATTTTTAAGTATGATATGAATCATTAAAATAATAATAATACCAATTAAATAAAATAAATAGGTTAAATAATATACATATATATATGCACATATATAATATAATAAATATATTTATTTTGTCTATGTGCTTATTGTTAAGTTTCACCCGGATTGCAAACAAAAATTAAACAATATAACAAATCTACAACTTTTATAATATAATTTTCATTGTTCGAATTTTGGACTTTTCAGAATAGTTCCATTAATTTAATCAAAAATGTTGAAGCAGAAACACAAGCAAAATCTGATAGTGAATTAAACTTTAATATTCAATTTTTTGGAAACAAACATCAAACAAGTTTTAGCTAACTTTCTTGCAAGCTTCTCAAAGTTTCTTTGAATATTATATGATAACTCAGTCAACTCAGTGAACATTTTGTGAGATTCTCGTTGGTCCATTTAATATTTAGTAGACATCATTCCCAGGCATCATTCAGCTGCAGTTTCTAGAGGGCAATGTGAGCCCCGGAAAAGTGACGAATTGAATTGAATTCTTTGAGAACTCCTTTCTCTGGGCTGTGCGTGCTCGAGTGTCTGCTCGCTGCTCGGGTTGAGGGTCTGTCTGCACTTTCTATGGCTCCGTTGCATGCATGCAACCGCAACACAACAACAACAACAACAACAACCACTTGGCGAGGCTATCCCCAATGCGCGTTCCACATTGACTTTGCCTTCGACTTCAATTCTTGCGCGCGCTTTTCAAATAAACAGACAGCAATAAGTATTTAATAATCACGAACAACAATAACAATATCAACAACAACAACAACAAGTGAGCGTCGAGTAATTGGCAACAGCAAAATGCAACTGTGAGACGACACTGCAACACCAGCAGCTCGCCCCTTGCCCCGTCCCCCGTGCCTACCCCCCTTCAGCCTAAGAAACTACCTCGGCCACGTTTCTTTGTGCATTTTATGATGTGAACAAAAATAATAAATAATAAAAAAGAAGTTCAAACTCTGAATGCGCTTCTCATGGATTCATTTTTGTTCAAGACAAGTGGATAAGTTACCCAAGGCGAAGGGGGAGAGGGAGGTGGGGCTGCAGTGTGGGAGCAACATGCACTGGATGCACGCCCCCTATTGAAATGGGTCAAACACATTAGCCGCACGACAACGCAACGAAGAGCGCATCAAAAATGCAACTTGCAGCCAACTTTGAACTAGATAAAAAGTTGAGCTGCTACTCGCTGCACCCCTGGCCAGCCCCCCCTCGCTCACGCTTGCCCCTCCTGTGCGGGAAAAGAAGACAAACAAACAAATAAACAAGGAAAAACAAACTCAAAGAACGCTCAAGTGTAAACAAAAGCGCACCAGATCAACAGAAGGAAAAACGCATCAGATTAAACAAAAATTGACCAGACTACGCAGATACCCTGTAGTCGTAATAGTAATGAAACTCTACAAGGTTGGATTGACGAAAAATGGTACTGCTTATATGTATATACTTTATATTTATAAATTATTACAATTCATTAAGAATTCATTTCATATTATAATGTTCGTGGTTCTAAAGAAAATTTCAAGATTACATATTACAAATTTGCATTACAATTTAATACATAGATAACAGCAAATATTAATATATAATATAATATATATTAATATAAGTTAACTTCCATACATTTACTAAAGAAAACAGCATACCCCATTACTAACTAGAAAAATTACTGAGTATGCATACGAAATGCTCAACGCATCTCAAAGAAATCCCATCGAAATGAACTCGATATGGAAATGGAGGCAATCTGACAAAGAGACAACAACAAAGAGGAAGAAGACGACCAACTTGAAGTAGGCAAATGCCAGAGCTGAATTGTGGATTATCAGAACAAAAGAAAATATCATTTCCATTTTCGTAGAAAGACGACGACGAGCTATTCGCTAGCCGAGTGCAATAGAGACTAACCAAAAGGAAGCCTCGAGAATTCCTTATTCGAGCTGCCAGCTAATTAAGTAAGAGTAATAATCAAAACTGTTGCAGGCAGCAGCAGCAGCAGCAGTTGCAGTTGCAGTTGCAGTTGCAGTCAGATCTGTCAGTCAAGTGTAGAAATTGTGGAAATGGAGCAGCTGCCGTCCCAGCGAATCCATCCTGGGCATGCTGTGCAATGCCTCTTTTGTCATCCGTGTAAAAGTCAGCAAACGCTAAAGAGCACACTACAACTGGGACCGCGACCGGGGGAGGGAGGGAGCAGCAGAAAGAGGTGGCAAGTGGGAGGCCGAGCAGCGGACTGCAACAACGCGGAGTGTACTTCATAATACAGAACATGCTGAAGAACATGTTGGGGCGGAGTCGCCTTAAAACACGGTCTTTGACACATTATAAAACCGAAAGAAAAACACTTTATGAAATGTCAAATACCCTTTGCTAAATGATATTTATGAATTGGAGGCAATTTATAAACTTAATGAGGAATTAATATCAACACTGATACTATATTTATATGTTTTCAATATAATATTATATAAATTGAGATTAATGAATTCATTTCAATATTGTTATTAATTATATATGTATTTTAGATTTTAGTAGTTGGTACAAATACAACAAAAGCTTTAACCAATAGCTATTAACCTTCAGTATATTAACATTTTTTTTAAATTCTATACATTTCGTTTTCTTATCAACAACAAAAATATTTTCATGCTCGAATAACAAGTAGATAATAAAAAGTCAATAATAGACAAAGACTAATCAGAAATAAGATTAGTAAAGCAGGGCACAGCCTAATCAGAACAAAAGACCTTTCAATAGCAATGAAAAGATTGGAAGAAATTAATAGATATAATTTAATCAGTTTAAACTCACTTTTTTAATTTAATGAAAAAATTAATAGATATATAATAATCCGTTCGAATTTATTTTTACTTATTTAGGTGTCGACCTGGAGCTACTTAGTGTCAATATTTGCTGATCCAATATTTATTTTCATTACCACAGCTATATATAGGCATCATACATAAAGATATATAAATAGAAGATACAGTAATATTCCAAGCAATTATTCACACTAAATAATTTAAATTAAATTCATGAAAATAGATGACTTATAATTCCAACATATCTATTAACATACTAAATATGCACATATAACCTTAACTAAAATTAGAATACAATTTAGCCAACACTTGCAACCAGCCCATTTCGCAAAGCTTTTAAGCCCGCACAGCGAGGCAGTGTAGCATGAGTGAAAGATGCACAAGAACACAGAAAGTGCTCATACGCCCGAGTGCTGTGCCACTGGGAAATATACATGCATACATACATATATACTCGCATGCAAACGCCTCCGCTTGAGCTCCACCCGCTCCTGTTCGGTCAGGGACCCTCCAATGGGAGCCGCTGCTGCTGAGGCTGCTATTGCTGTGCAGTCACTCAGCTGGAGCTGCGCGGGGACGCTGGGCTGGTGGGGGGAGCAGCTCAGGACGATGACGTTTCGTATAGGCATAGGAAAAGTGTGCTGAGATTTTGATGCATAATGCACAATGCGAGCCGAGAGATTGAGAGATGCTAAATGGGCACAACGCACACTCAAACTACAGTTGCAGGCGACGTTTCGGTTGCAACAGCGCGTCATCCCCAATGTGTCAAAGTGTGTGTGTGCTTGTGCGAGTGTTTTTGGGTGCGTTGCTGCTGCCGCTGCCGCTGCCGCTGCTGGCTGCCGTCTCTTTGTATGTGGTGGAATACTTTTACAGTTTGTTAAACTCTATTTTTAGAGCGTTTGCGACGTGGCGGCCACAAGGAAAATTTGCTTTGCCTTGATGTTGTTTTTGTCGTACATGTGTATATATTTACATCTCTACTCATGTGTGCGTGCGTGTGAGTGTGTATGTGGGGGTGCTTGTTGGCTTAGTT